AGCAATTATTATTACCACACAAGCTTGGCAAGTTTACTGTAGAAACCTTTGAAAATGCAGATGCATAAAGTTAACATAAAATGCCCATTTCAGTCTCTCCAGAAACCAGCGCTACGTTTTATGTGTATATCCTTTCGGATGCTTTTCTATTCCTGTCGATTTAGGTCTTGTTTTTCTCCCTACAAAAATGGGATTATGTAGCACATACTGTTTGGTAACTTGCTATTTCCATGAACTGTGTATCATAAGCAGTTTTCAAGCCAGGAAAATCTTTCTACCACATTTAACATGGTGGCTAAAAAGCCCAGGCTCCGGAAGCAGACTGCCTGGATTTGAATTCCCAACTCTGTCACTATGTGACCTTAGGCAGGTGACTTAACTTTGCCACAGTGTGCTCATCTGCAATATGGTGCCAGTAATAATCTCTCTCTCAGGATTGTTGTGAGGATTAAAACAAAATGTATCTGGTACTTGGAGTGGTGGCTGCAATAGTAAGTGCCATGTATAATCATCCTCCACGTCACACTGACTTCCATGAAGGATATGTGATAATGTGTTTGGTCAGCCCTCTTCCAAATCATCCCTGTTCTAAACACTACAGTGAACACCCTCCATTAACACGGTTCTGGCCAGGTGCGGTGGGTCACACCTGTAACCCCAGCACTTTGGGAGGCCGAGGTAGGTGGATCACCTGAGGTCAGGAGTTTGAGACCAGACTGGCCAACATGGTGAAACCCCATCTCTACTAAAAATACAAAAATTATCCAGGCATGGTGGTGGATGCCTGTAGTCCCAGCTACTCGGGAAGCTGAGGCAGGAGAACTGCTTGAACCCAGGAGGCGGAGGTTGCGGTGAGCCGAGATCGCGCCATTGCACTTCAGCCTGGATAACAAGAGTGAAATTCCATCACACACACAAACACACAAAAACAAAAATTATCCAGGCGTGTTGGTGGATGCCTGTAGTCCCAGCTACTTGGGAGGCTGAGGCAGGAGAAACACTTGAACCCAGGAGGTGGAGGTTGCAGTGAGCCAAAAATGTACCACGGCACTCGTCTGGGTGACAGAGTAAGACTCCATCTCAAAACAGAAACAAAAACAAAAACAAAACCTAGTTCTCTAGTGGATACAGGTACATGTCTAAGAGGTGGCCATCCCAATGCTTGCACTTTTCTGTGATTCCTGCAGGGCAGGAACAAAGCTCTAGACAGTAGGGTTAGCCTGTGGGCTTACAGGGATTGAACGGGCTGACAGAGGTGGGAATATCATTTCCTTATATGTGAAACAGGGTGTAATGATCTGGCCTCTAGAGCTGTTCTGGGCTCAGCTGAAGCCCAAATCCAAATACCTTCATCAGAAAGTCCTAGAAGGAGGGATGGGCCTAAATTCCTATGTAGGCCTTGGTCTTTTGAATGAGGCCAAATTACTTCCCTTCCTTGTTTTACTCATCTGTAAAATGCCCACTGCTGATCTCCTCTGCTTCCTGACTGCTGAAGGTGTGGAGAGCTGGGGCCTTCTGGCAGGAGGTCTGCCTCCGGTCAGCCCAATTCTGTGCCCTTAGAGTCCCAAAGAGCCATTTCAAGTCTCAGAGGAAAAAGACTGGCACTTGGCTGGAGGCAAAAGGGCTTGTGCTAGAATGGGTTGTGGAAAAAAGAGTCGGGTCTGGAGGAGTGAAATAGGAAGAGTATGGAGACAGGCAGTCCTGCTCTGGCCTGTCCTTGGGTCTGGGCAAGAAGGCCATTCCCATCATCTCATCCCAACTCTACCCATTAATAGCCATATGTAGGCACCACAGCACATGCCTGTGGCCTCAAGGCTCAGCTCAGATCTTGCTCAGCTTGTGCTTTGAGCTAGATTGCTCTACCATACCAATTATGTGACCTTGTTTCCTCTGAGTCTCAGTTTTCTCATGTGTGAAATGGAGCTAGCGTGATCCGCTTCTAAACGTAGGACTAGAAGCACCACCTCCAGAGGAGATCTTAGCACAGGGTGGGCTGGCAACTCAACCAAGGACACTGGTGAGTTGCCATGTGAACTGGAATTGGAACCTAGACCTCCAGACCTCAGATTGCTTCTCAGGCCATCACCCTGAGATTTTCTCTGCCCTTTCTCTGCTCCCATATAGTCCTAGAGCTCAAAGGAAACTCTCAACCACACCCTCCCTTGCTCCCAGCCACTCCACACTTTTGCCACAGCATGAGATGGCCTTGTCAGGAACCTATTGAATAGTAGGCTAGACAGTGAGCCTTAGAAAGCTGACATGTGTCCCCAGTGCCTCTCATCTTTTCTTTGGATGGCTCATCTACCCATCCCACTTAGTCTCTGGCCCAGGTAATCTGGAACACTGCAGCCCTGGGAATGAGGGATATTCAGCTGGGGTTCTCGTGGAGTCTGGAGCCAGGACTTTAACATGTACCCGATCCTGTCCTCCCCAAAGCCTTTAAGCTTCCATTTTGATTTGGTTCCCACCTGTATCTTCCTCCATGAACCAATCTGCCTTGGCAACTGAAGCCTTTTTCTGCTGCTCCACACAGAACATTCTGTTCATATCCTTTCTCAATGATGGGCAGGCCTTGGTGAAACATTTGAGCTCACAGGGTTTGTTTTCTTGGCCATCCAGTGCCACTTGATCAAGATGCTGGAATAGAGTTAAGGCATGAAAAACAAGTATACTGCTAACAGCAGTTACTTTCTGTTACCTACTGTTTCCCTGGCTCTGAAAGCTCATTGTCCTCCAAGCCTTAAAACAAACGTGAGTGGACACAGACTCCATGAGATTCAGTAACTTGTCCAAGCTTGTAAGTGGCCAACCTAGAATTTCAGCCCTGGTCTTAAAAAGCAAGTACTCTGGCCATTTTTCTGAACTGTATCTCTGCAGGGTATAGATTTTTCTTTATTTTTATTTTTGAGATGGAGTCTTGCTGTGTCCCCCAGGCTGGAGTGCAGTGGCGTGATCTTGGCTGATTGCAGCTTCCACCTCCTGGGTTCAAGTGATTCTCCTGCCTCAGCCTCCTGAGTAGCTTCGATTACAGGTGTGCACCACCATACCTGGCTAATTTTTGTATCCTTAGTAGAGACAGGGTTTTACCGTGTTGGTCAGGCTGCTCTCGAACTCCTGAGCACATGATCTGCCCGCCTCGGCCTCCCAAAGTCCTGGGATTACAGGTGTGAGCCACCGCACCCAGCCTCTGCAGGCTATAGATTTGATCCCCAAGAAGCTAAATGGATGGATAAGCCTTGCCTAAGAAACTACACACCAGAAACAGCAGTGACAGAGATGCTGTGTGTTGGAGCAGATGCAGGAAGGAGGAAAGATCATTTGCGGTGGCTTTAAGGATAGTGAGGAAATAAGGTCTGCTTGCTTGGCGTAGACTGGAAACGGAGGGTAGGTCCCCATTGCGACCAGCTCTGGATGCTGTTCTAAACACAATGGGTTTTCTCTTCCCGGCATTGGGAGATCTTTGAAGGTTTGTGAGCAGAAGACAAAAACACAGAGTCATGACTGAGGACAATGCATTTGGTGTAAACTAAAGTTTCTTCTTCGGGTAGGGGTTGATTAAGTGAAGGCTGATCACAGGGCAGAGAGAATTCTATGTGTCCCAGGACAAAACAAAATGGCATCTACTTCCTGGGAAGATTAAAAAATGCACTGGAAGACTAACTGCCCCACTGTTGTTGAAGGGTTACACTGGTAAAGCTACTGGATAGGACATTCTGCAAAAATATTTATAAAAGCTGCATTAAAACACGTAAAAATGTTTATGTTAAATAAAGAACAGTATGACCACTATTCTGTTTAATAGCAATGGTAACATTATCATTCATAGGAGAAAACTGGAAAACAAGCAAATACAATAAAATGCCAACAGTATTTGTGTTAATGTGATGAGACCCATGGGTGTTTTTTTCCTTTTCAGCTACTTTTCCTACATTTTCCCCAGTTTTCTCTAATGATAAACATTCTTTTTACTTCTCTTAAAAACTGTGCTGCCTTTTCTAATTGTTATTTTGCCGTACGTACGTGGCAGGGGAGTTACGAGGACTAAATGAGCAAATACAAATTACCCAGCACAGTGCCTGGCGCTCAATGAGTGTGAAGCGTGAAGGGTCGCCGGCCCCCACGTCCCCTCCTAGGAGCCCGGACTCGCCGCGCAGGTTTCAGGCCCGGCCGGGAGGCCGATGCTTCGCGGCAGCGTCCTCGCGAGTCCTGAAGACTTAGCGCCCGTGGGGCCCACGGCGCTGCCCAACCTGAGGACGTGGAGCCAGAGCTGCGCTGCCGCACACGCCCCCGGCAGCCCTGCGCGACGTCGCGCGCACCCAAGACTCCCCGCCCCCGTGACGTAACCCGGGGCGGGGCCGCCGCCTCCGATTGGCCGGCGCGCTGTCACCACGTCGCGGGAAGCTGGCAGGGTGTGTGTCTGTGTGCGTGTGGGGTTTGCTTTGTCATTCATACCCCCGGTGCGCGCTGACGCGGCCGGCGTAGCCGAGCGCTCCAGTATCCGCGGAAGGGTCCCCGGCGCTGTTCCTGGGATACTCCCTTACATAATGACGCGACTGGCTGAAGCGCACGTCAGCGCAGATACTGCACACGCCGCAAACCCGGGCCTCCGGATTTCATACATTGCTAGACGAGAGCCTACAATTCCATGCTGGACGGTATGCTCTAGTAGGGATTACAATACAATGAAACGCAACCCAATAATAATAAAGCATACCTTCACAACAAGGCGTAATATAGGATGTTATATTTATAGGGCCTATTTATAAGCCTCTATTTAATCTTTTCTGATAGGCTCAGCCGCGGACTCAGACACCATAATGATTGGTGCATTCTCCTGTCCTTCAAAGAGGCGGGTTCTAGAGTCCGTTTTGCCTCAGCGAGCCCTGGGATTGGCCGGCAGCGGTTTACCCGTGGCTTCGATTGGCTCCACAGGCCGTCCGTCGGAGCTGAGGAGGCGGGGCAGGCGGCTGGCTGGTGCTGGGCGGGCGGGCCCCGGAATTGTCATTTCTTTGTTTCCGAAGGCGGAGGAGGCTCCAAGCCCCCCCTCCCTGTGCCACCCCCTCCCCCCGGGTCCTGGCTCCCTGTCTGTGTGACCGGCCCCAGGGGTAGAGTCCAGGCCTGACGCGGGGCGGGTCGGCGGCGGCTGCGGCTGAGGTGAGAGACGGCGGCGGCGGCGGCGCGGGCACGCGGCCCCCCAGCGGGAGGATGAAGCGGCGGAACGCCGACTGCAGTAAGCTCCGCCGCCCCCTAAAGCGGAACCGGATCACCGAGGGCATCTACGGCAGGTGAGCGGCGGCGCCCCCACTTCGCGGGCGCGGGCCCCGCCGTCCCCCGCCGGCTCAGAGGGGCCCGGCTCCGTTATGTAACCCCGGCTAGGCCGCACGCCCGCGCCGGGGGCTCTCCTGAGGGGCCCTGGCCCGCGAGACGCCGGCCGGCCCGCCGGGGGTCCGCCCCGGGGGCGCGGGGCGTGACGAGGGCCGGCCCGGTCGGGCGGGGAGGGCGCGGCGGGCGCTGGCGGAGGGGGCCGCCGCGCCGCGGTTGGAAGCGCCGAGCCCGCCGGGGGGAGGGGGTGGAGAGCCCCCCAACCCGCCCGGCGTTCCCAGCCTCCCGGCCGTGCCTCTGGGCCGGGAGGGCCGCTCCCGGGACCCCTGAGTGGCCGCCGCTGGCCCCCGAGTCCCCAGTGGCCTGGGAGTCCGCCGGCCTGAGTCGGGAGGCGCGTGGACCACAGCGTGGTGTGGGGGGGTGGGGTGGGGGAGGCTGACAAAGTTGGGGGTCCACCGTGGACCCTCGTCTCCCCCTCACCAGCTGCCGGCAGACTGGCCTGGGGCCATGCTGTCACTTCCTTTGCCTTGTCCTTCCCATATGGGATCTCAAACTTGGCACCGAAGGCTGAAGCTGATACCCCCAAATCACGCCCTGTGGCCCTGCTCCAGACTCGGAAGGGTCTGATGATCAGTTTTTCTGCAAACATTATTTTGACAATTCCACACAGATAGCTTGCTTTGAACAGTTTTAAAGAGGAATTTTCTTCAAATTATTCTTCTTTTTTTTTTTTTTTCCATCCACAAGGAAAGCAGTGTCCCTTTAAATAGAAATTGAATTCAGTCCACCGGTGGAGAAAGACAACAGGTTCATGGGGCAGCTTACTATCATAACTTCCCCAAGTCGATTTGTGTACGACTGTTATTTTCAGGTTCTTCTCAGAATGTTAATTGTAAATGGTATTTGCCTTGATACAGATTTCGATGGAGAAGCAATTAGTTTACAAAGGAGAATTCTCAGCCTGTGGATATAGTCTTAATTGAGTCCTCACGGTGTTTCAGAATTTAGCTCTTCTAACTTGGGATTTCGAGAAATAGGTGAGGTAGCTGATGACACCCAAGTTGCCTTAACATAACTGTACACCTTGCACATGCTCTTGTTTACACATGTGGAATGATTGCTTTCCACAAGCAGCTGACTGATGTAAACACTGGGGATTTTCTTTACTTCAAGTTTAAAAGCATTAAGAAGTCAATTAAAGTAAAAAGTTCTTGGGTATATTCTTATATAACGAGCCATAAGGCATAGGAGTAATTCATTCATTCAACAATTATATATACTAAGTGCCAGGAACTCTTCTAATCAGTGAGGGTAGAGCAGTGAGTAAAACAGACTTGAGTCTATGCTGAATCAATCTAACTTGACCATTTTAACTAAAACTGTAAAAGCAAACCATTTTTCCTACACATGGATGGAGGAAAGGTCTCTTCAATTCACGTTACATACACTATACATTCTTGAATAAAAGAAAGCTTTCCCCCCTTGGCTATTGAAAAATATTTGACCAACTTAACCTTAAAGGTAACATAAGAATAGGAAAGGCATATTAAACAGAGTTGGTAGACTTAGCACAACTGTGGCATTTGAATAGCTGCTATTTACAGTAACATAAGATGATGTACCTCCATTTATAGCAAGAAGATGAGAGTCCCATATTGTTTACATGTGTTCTGCTGTATTTCAGTTTATCTTTGTACTTGAACAAATAGACCCAGTTTACAACCTGTGCCATTTTAACTACTCAGTGTGAGTAGGTGTGAAGAAGTGAATTAATTGTTTAATGAAGATTTACATTTTACTGATGGCTTTTGAAATTTGAATTTTCTTACCCTAAAGGTTAATTGTAAATACTCTATGCAAGTTACTCAGAGGTTTGTCTGCAAAATTTTAAAAACCAACAGTGCTTTAGCCTTGAATCTCCTTATTTTTCTGTCTTTTGCATTCTTTAAGTTTAATAAAAGACCTAAAGTATTTCTACCTGTCTTTCCTGTTTGGAATATCTTATAATGAGCATTTCAACTCACTTATCTGTTTGTTAATTTATATTATGGAGTATTGGACTGAAGAACAAGATTTTTTTCCCCCCACTTCTGTTTTTAAAGAGAGATTTAGAAAAATTTCCAGTTATTTCTAAAGCAAACAGGATGAGTGGATTCGTTGTAAACTAGAATGCTTAAGGATTCATGAATATCACATTTCTGATCATCATCAAATTTAAGTCTATACTAAGTTGTTTTCACACCATCTATTGCCCATTTTGTTTCTCAGCAACATCTGGCCAATTTTTGGTTTCATTTAACAGAGAGCTTTGTTTTTTGTTTTTTTTTTTCCTGAGGCCATGTTGACAGTTTTGATAACCACTCTCTACTGTTTCATAGCCAAACCTTTCATGGACTTATGATTTTCATGTTCTCAGTCTGTACAACTTTCTGAGCCTTGGCGTAGGAAGGAGACAGCAGCTGTGGTGAAACGTGCACTGGACTGCAGGAATCAGGAGACCGAGGATCAGATCCAATTCCTAGCTCCGCTGCTTTAGGCAGGAAAGGGCATCCACAGCTTTGAGCCCTAGTTATCCCATCTTCAAGTGAGTTTTGAAGACTAAAGGAGGACATGTACAGTTTGTGAAATGCTTTACAAATCCTAGTGTAGTTTACAGATAGTATTTGCCATGTTGTTGCTATCACAGTTTAACATGTGTGGTTTATTTTTTAAGGAGGCAGGAAATACTATAAGATTTGGTGCAACTGTAAACAAAAGTTGAGTAGTCAAAACAAGGGGTCAGTTGCTGTTTGGTCTTGCTTTAAAAAATCCTGTTGTGGAGACACTTTTAATCAGGGGCTGCACTCCAGCAACTGTTACTGAGGTAACTGTGAAATGATATCATTTATTGTGAGTATCATGGCTGTGTTGGAATTCTGTTTTGGGGCAAGATACAAGAAAAATTAATTTTAGATGTTATGTTAATGTAATTTGCATTTATACATATAAAACATTGAAAATTGAAATGTCCTATAGAAATGTTTTAATCCTGTTAATAATCAAGAATAGGCGAAAAGAAATAGGAATAGTGATCTTTTCATCTATTAGGGGCTAAAATTCGATGTAGTTTTAAAAAAATTCAACCCAGCCCGGAGCCTGGCACAGAGTAGACATTCAGTGTTCAATAAGTGTTGAGTGAGTAAATTAATAAACAAATATAAGCTAGTCCATTTCATTCATTAAGTACCTGCATTGTTGAGAGAATTGTGGAGGATACAGGATGACACATGGCTCATTGTCTTCAAGGAGATTACAGTCTAGGAGGCCATAGTAATAGCATCTTAAATTTGTACAGTGGTTTAGAGGTTCCATAGAACTTTAGGTTCTGTTCAAGTAAAAACATTTCTGTTGTACTAAATTTTAGCTTAACTGTTTTAGTGGTTCACCTGACGCATCAACAGCTGTATTTTGCTCTGTGCTATTTTATGATGAAGTAGACAGCTGCCACTAAATGAGGTAGTCTTTTCTATCTCAAGTGAGATAGATACGAAAGTACTTTAAAAATTATGAAACTGCCCGGCACGGTGGCTCACCCCTGTAATCCCAACACTTTGGGAGGCCGAGGTGGGTGGATCACAAGGTCAAGAGATCGAGACCATCCTGGTCAACATGGTGAAACCCTGTCTCTACTAAAAATACAAAAATTAGCTGGGCATGGTGACGCCCGCCTGTAGTCCCAGCTACTCAGGAGGCTGACATAGGAGAATCACTTGAACCCAGGAGGCGGAGGTTGCGGTGAGCTGAGATCGTGCCACTGCACTCCAGCCTGGGTAACAGGAGTGAAACTCCATCTGAAAAAAAAAAAAAAACTATGAAACTAAGTTATTAAGTACTTAACTCTTACATTTCCAAGGTCCTTTGGTTTTCTAGGCTGGGTTCTCTCCCTGTGTCTGCCTTGACACATGTGTACCAGATACTCTCAGTAGTAATCTCTCATTGCAGGCAGTGATTCTCCAGGTGAGGTGAGGTTAGGGTACTATGTAGTTTTTATAAAGCCTTAAGGAGATTGTGTATGGTTTACCCCCACTTCTCACCCTGCCTTACTTTCCACTCCTTTCCTTCAGAGAATTACTCACTTTACAATACAAAAATGAGGAGATAAGGTGTGGTAAGTAGAAGAGGGAGGCAGAAACATTTATGTTTAAAGTGCACATATATTCCAAGTCTCTACAGTTAAAATGATTATTTATACAAGTAAATAGAATACAAATTTTAAGTAAGGTATATGTTTTAAGCTTCTGGAAATGATTTTACATCTGTGTTACTGGTGGCTGACGGAAGTACCCCTTCATTGTGAATTTAAGACTGCTTCCTGTCTTCCTGTACTGGATTCTGCTTGTAGTGTTGTGTGAAGCTTAGGCAGTGCAGTATTGTATGTGTCATGTTTTTGTAGCTTAATGCCTTAAAACTAGGACTAAGAAGTCAGCACTGGCCAGGCGCAGTGGCTCACGCCTGTAATCCTAGCACTTTGGGAGGCCAAGGTGGGTGGATCACCTGAGGTCAGGAGTTCAGGACCAGCCTGGCCATCATGATGAAACCTCATCTTTAAAAAACAAACAAAAAAAAAAAAAAGAAAGAAAGAAAGAAGCACTAGTGGATATGTTATTGTTTCCCATTTTTATTTCAGAGAAAACTTCTCCGGTCCTTGGGGCTCCTAAAAGTGACTTTTTAAAGTGATTAAATTTTGCTTGCTTCTCGACTTCACACAGTTTCCTTTTTCGGACCCTTGTCTAAATCTGATCTCCAGAGATTTCATTTGACTGCTTTTTCTGCCTTCTTAATGATGTTTTCTAAGCCTGGTTTTAGACTCCTTTGGGCTATGCTTATTAAGTCACTGCAGGCTGGTATGACCCTTGGCTGCCTTGATTGTACATGTGTTCCGCAACTGAAACCCCCAGATACCTGTGTTGCAACCTCATAGCCT